ATCACCTAAATGTTTTATATAAAACAAAATCAATTGCTTAATTGATGACTTTATGTACTAGTTTCTGAGGTACAATGTATCAGTATACATGTATGTATGTATGTACCTGAAATATATCTTTCTCAAATACAGTTCATTAAATGAGGTAAATTCTATTAAAAGTTATGTTCTGCAGATGTTCCAAAAAGTAATGATAAAATTTTCTCAGAGATTTTCCAAAATAGTGTCTGGAGGTTTGATGGATGGAATGACAAATAAGGAATGATTTTAACTTAAGTGTGAGTTATTTGTGACTGTGTATATAATAGACATTTTATGTTGGCATATTCATGATGCGCGCTACTGCTTCATTAAATAAATATGCCTACGTGCACATCTGTTTTGTTTAGACACCTATTTCTCACACTAAACAATAAAAAACAAAACATCCCTTATGTTTACATTTTACATGTTTGAAAGCACAAAGACAAAAAAATATACTCAGCGTGTACAATGTACTCTGTGTACATGTATATTTCTATGCGTGTGTATACACAAAAATGGTATTCAAATCAATATTCACAGTTGGCTTAGAAGAAAAAAAACAAAAGGGATATACACGGTAAATATTCAACGATATTTATGTAGAATATGCAGGACAATATCTGCATTTCCTTTTTTTCGTCTAAATAATGGTCCTTCATCTAAGGGGTTTCGTGTTAATTAATTTTATCACACATGTATGTTTATGGAGGAATTCAAATACTCTAACATTTTTAAAAACAAAATAATTGTATTTCAAACCAGTATGGTATCAAGTTAGGTAAGAAAGGACAGTGTACACAGTGAAAAAGTTTTTGGTATTAATTAGGACCTTGGAGGGGTGAGGGGATAAAATACATGTAATAAATAACTCAAGATTACTGACGCTATGTTAGTTGTATGGGTCCTTCACTTTTCAGGACCAATTGAAATTAATAACACATATGCAGATAAGTTAGATTTCATAGATTAACAATAATATGTGATTTCTAATATCTTTTGACTTCTACTGATATAAATTAAATCGAAGTTAATTATTAAAAAAGAAATTTTTAATAATTTATCTGCATAACGTCAATCCCATGATATAACATGACATATTTCAACCATCTGAGATTTACTTTTTGGTTATTTAGGTTTACATAGAATTTAGAAGATAACTAATCTGAACTTTGGAATTCTTTGGTAAAATGAGATTGGTTCGATTTATCCAATAAATGACTCTGCCCAATTATACCAATTAGATGAACTCCTTCCATCGTCCCATTTCAAGCATCGTTATAAAGATGTGGCTTTCTACTTTAGAGAGTCAAAGACATGAAACATAAAAAAGGGTTTTGTTAAATTGCAATGTTCTTGAATTTTGAAGTAAATGGGTGTGTTTTAGGGCAATGTTTACTGTATAAAAAAGGCAATGTTTATTGTGTAAAAAAGATCTTATTGTTATCTCATGTTCAATTACAATACTGTAGATTCCTGAATATACGCTTTGATTTAATTATCGCTTATTTTTGCGAGAAGCACCACACGCGAAATAAAATTACTCGCCTTTATTTTATGGCTCTGAAATCTATGTAAAAACTCTTGACCAGCCGTCCATTCGAGAATTATTATTCTCGCGTTTTGACGTTGAAGAGCCAATTCGCGATAACAAGTACTCGCGAAAGATAAGAAATCTACAGTAACAACAGACAGAAGAAAAAAAAAAATTGACAAGATGGATATCAGTTGTCATCATCCGTTCACTTTTTCTCGTCGTCTCTTTGTCTTTTATAAACGTGTCCCTTTAACTAAACCCTGCACAGTAATAAAAACATCAACTTTTTGAGCTAATTTGAAAAAAAGTCAGATATTTGATTTTGTGTGAAAACACTATTTCAATTTTGCTCAAACTTACTTTTGCACTGCTGACTTTCGATATCCCACTAGTAATCTGGGCAGCAACCTTTAAATCCTCTGTACAAAATATTTGATACTTTTGAAATGCACACTTTAACGTTTAAGAGAGAATACAAGGTAATTAGGGAAAGGAAAACGTGTATTTGGTTCATAGGTATGACGTCACGTATACTGTTAAGGAATAAAATAGAAGTAAAAGTACTTTAATTTATATCTTTTTTTTTTTTTTTACATTTTCTTGATTGAGACAAAGCATGTAATAGAGAAGCTAAAATAACTAGAAAAGAAAATGCTCAACAAAATGTAACCTACTAGATTTTTTACTCTTCTAGTAACAAAGGTCTTTCATTCAATTACATAGAAATTGCAGTCATTTACTCACCTTTCACATTTTGGAATGATAGACCAATTTGAAAGAATCAAAATGACAATCAACAAAAACGTAACGAATGTACCCATTGTAATATCCGTCATAGGTACAAATATCCCTGTGTTATTATGGTTTTTACTCGTATGACTAAACTCTTCGAACAATGCATAGAAGATAATGCTGTATATTTGCTTCCTTCATCCGGATATATGACAAAAAATATAAGTTTAACTTTAGCGTTTAGATTTTATTTTTAAATGTTGGTTTAAGTGACAATATTTACAAATGATTATATTTCTAACCTGTATATGTACGAAAAAACATGAATGAATTTTAGTTAAAAAGCATTCATTGTGTAAACATGTATGGTAAGTGTAAAGTCGTGACGTGGAACAGTGGTTAGAGTGTCTGCTTTAAAAAGGTAAGGAGTTGAATCTAACGTCTCGGGTTTGAGTCCCACTGTGGGACGCGAAGACCAGTCCTTTGGATGAAACCGTATAAAGAGAGGCCCATTGTTGCATAAGGTGCGGGTACAGAGAATTTTTATTTCGATGATGATATAACCATGGTAATTAAAGAAAGAAAATATTTAGATTTATCCATTATTCTACCATTTCTACTTTTAAACTTTGATAAGACTTTTGACATAGTTTCTCCATATTAAGGCACAATTTAAAAAAATTGTTTTTGATTCAATGAACGGAATTGTCTAAGTAACTTACATAATTAAAACAATTTTTTTACTTTAGTAAACGGTTCTCCAATCGTTATAAAAAACTGTATTTGAATTTTTTTCAAAATGTAACTATTCAACATTTCGGCTAGATCATACTACTCCTTAATGTTTATGTAGGCTTTGCCTAAAACATTATTTAAATTACGTTTTTTTTTTTTGCATTTATGTTGGCAAGGTCCATACAAAATTTCTATAATTTATTTTTCAGAATAAAACTCACAAAATATATAACTTTCAGAAAAGCACAGAAAATATAAAATATTTCTGGATACTTTTATTTTTTTATATGAATGCATTTAATAGTATTTGTGTAAAGATACCAGGATATTTTTTTAATTAAAAAAAAATCTCTTAACAAATAAGAAATTAATTAATGGAAATCGGTGGCGTATGTAACGAAATAACGGCATTTATGGCATTTAAACAGGCAAGGGGTCCGAGAACCTTCGTGGGTACAGGGCATAGCCACTGAGTGCGCCCTGGAGAAGGGAGTTCAGGAAGCTCATGAATTTTAAGGGTTATGCATCACAAAAGTTCCTTAAGGTTCATTGATACTCTGATAAGAGAGATAACTCTACAGATAAGAAAGATAACTTTCTGCAGATATTTTGTCATGAAATTCAGTAATTTGTCATGCCAGAGTTTACAAATTTCTATCATATGGACTATTTTATTGTTAACTCAAGCAAACCTATCCCATCGTTCAGAGGTTGATTTGTAGTTCTATTGCTAGTTTATTCAAAAATTATTTTGAATAGTTTACCTAAAACATTTACACTCAGTTCCTTTAAACGGTGTAAATTGATAAAAAAATCTATTTCTAAACGTGAAAGTCTTTTAATTGTACAGAATTAAAAGCCGCAGAATTGTTTATAAACATTTAATTAATATTTTATTTCATTAAAAAAGAATTTCAAGGGCGATAATGGAACGATAACTCTTGCTTATGGATGCATTTTATTTTACATGCACAGAAAACAATTTGATATTCTGATTTAAAAAGCATCGCTCCAGTATGTTTTCTAAAGGGAATTAGATAGGTATGAGAGTAAATATTATTTTTATATATACCTCGTATTTCTAATTTAATTGTGAGATTAAAAATAATTGGTCTTTTTAGTGACCATCTCAAATTTTCTTCAAAATCATGATTTGACATATCATTTATTTCTGAAAAAGTAAGCAACGCTTCATACTTCAAACTATTTTTTATTTGAATTGAGTGTTATAGTTGTTGCTGAAAATCAATGTTTGGAATTTAAAAAAAAAGTCGTGAAATGTGGAGCAGAGGGATATTGTCCCTTAAAATATTTATTTCTTACCTTTTAAAATCTGCAAAAAATTAGTAGTCTCCATATGAGTGGAAAATTCTTGAGAGCGACGTTAAATGACGAATAAACATAAAATGTTACTGTATTAAAAGATAGACTAGTATTGACATTACCTTCAGCTCCATAAAATCTTTTTAAAGCATTTCTTCATATCATAAATTATGATTTTTATTAGTAAATGTTTTTATAATATATTAATCGTCTATTAAATATAATTGATAACTTCACATTTTTTTGAAATGTAGAGTGTAAATAAGAATCAGAAATTAAAAAAAAAACAATGAAAAAAAATTACTTTCTTTCATGTGATCAAATTTATATGTTAATTTTCATAATTAGAATATATAGTATGAACAATATAGAGCATGCAAATTTTATGGATTCAATTTTCAATCTTATGGATGAATTGCCTTTAAAATTAACCACCCTAAACATTTATCATTTTTGAATACTGATGATTTTATGGTGTCCTACTTCTAAATCTAGAGTTACTTGCTCTTTGATCAATATTTGAAATAACTTGAAATAAACAGTGCAGTAATGAGAATGAATTATAATAAAGCTTTCATGACATTTTATTAGGTAATAAAATATTATAAACTAATATGAATAGATTGAACACTACATTTTAAGGTATTTTGTCCATGTAAACAACCATCAGTACGTCAATGTCTTTGAACACATTTCCTGGGCATTAAATGCCTGGTACCTGAAAATGAAAATATACGCTGTAAAAGAGATGTCTTACTTTTATACACTACTTTTCTGTCAATATTCACTTATTTTTTTTTTATTTGGCTTGCATTGATACTCACGATTATAAGCAAAACATCCATCAGAGAATGGAAAATACAATACATACAACAGCATGTAAGACTAGAGTGATTCCTGATTGCTTCTTGGAGCTAAAACAATAAAAAGAAAAAGAATCTTCAAATTTCTTATAAAGAATAAGCATGAGTTCTATAATTTATAACACTCACATGAGCCTAAATAAACTTTCTACTTTATTCAGAACTTAAAAATGCTGTAGGGATAATGAGACTTTGTTTGCTTCTTTCAAGCTTTTAAAACTCAAATCATTTTAATTGTATCGTAAAAGTCAGTATCAATGAAGGCAATCTGTGGCTTTGGCGATATCAACCGTGTGAGTATCGAGGTACAAAGAAGGCAAGGAAGTTATCCATATCTAGATATCAACTGTTTATAATATATTTATATTTTAAAAAAACTTTATGAAAACAATTCAACTTACGACTTATTTAAGGTTGATGTATGAATGGGAGTGGTGGTAGCTTTTGGTAATTCGTCTCCAGGTGTTGATTTTTTTTGTTAATTCATAACATGATTGGTCTGGAAATGAAACCAGAATGTTCATATACACTTAAAAAAGTTATAGATCTTATATGTACGTCATATAAAAATCTAAGCAATTCGTTAACTTTAGGTACAATGTGAAACCATTATCCTTGTGACATACCATGTACAGTGTATATCAATTTTTAAAATATCTGATTGAGTTTTATTACAACAAATCGTTAAATTCGTTATATAAATTATAAGATGAAAAAGATACTTGAAAGTCTTTTTTGGGATTTGTTCAAGTTATAACTTAAATGATTTTAAAGGGGGGAATTTTCAAAATCTATTGCTTATCCTACATGTACCATATATAAGGTTCATGATTGCTCTTACACCAAAACAAAAAAATAACAAAAAGAACATGTAACAAAGCAGTGAATAAAAAATGTTCGACCTAGATCTCACAATAGTATTAAATGATAGAACATTACTCATTTCAAAATATCCAGAAAAACCCACTCATACGAGGGTCCTACTATACCTTCTATAAAGAATCCGCTGAAGTTAGAAAATAGGAAAAAAAATGAAGCAAAATACTTTTTAAGAAAAGGCCAACTCAATGTATATAATCCTAGAGAGTTTTTGTTTTAAAACAAATCGAGTCTTAGAAAGACATAGTTGAAATATCCATTGAGGATGATACCTTGCCAGACAGTTTTAAGTCCTTAAAATGTAACAGAAAAAATAAAGATATCATTAGAGTCTTGGAATACAATGCCCTCAAATAAGAAAATAAGTATTCTTTCAACTGATTAGATTTTGTTATATCCTCAGATGAAATTCTTTAAGGTAAAGTACCCTTACAGACTCCAAAAAGTCTAGGATTTAATAATATTAATAACGAAACCTTAGATTATTATTTTTGTATACTAATTGTGATGTAATTTTACACAATTTTATAAACAAGAGGCCCATGGCCATATCGCTCAGCTGAGCAAACAGAAAAAAATCTACATTACCTGAAAATTTTTTCACATGAGTTTCAACTTTTTTGGCCCAGTGGTTCTGGAGAAAAAGATTTTGAAAGATTTCTTTACTATGTAAAATTTTGATCAGCCATTGTGGCCCCGCCCTACCTCCGGGTGTTATGATTTGAACAAACTGGAATCTTCATTACCTGAAAATTTTTCCACATGAGTTTCAACTTTTCTGGCACAATGGTTCTGGAGAAGATTTTTTAAGATTTTACCTAGATATTACTTATGAACCTCTGATCAGCAATTGTGGCCCCGCCATACCCCAGGGGGTCATGAATCGAAAAAACTTGAATAAGACTACATGATGATGCTTTAACATGAGTTCCATCTTTCCTTGCCCATTGGTTTTGGAGAAAAAGATATTTTAGAGACTTTTCCTTTATCTTCCTTTGTAACTCTCTGATCAGCAACTGTTGCCCCGCGCTACCCTCGGGGGTCATGATAAGAACAAACTTGAATCTACACTACCTGAGGATGCTTTTACGTGAGTTTCATCTTTCCTAGACCAGTAATTCTTGAGAAGAAGTTTTTTTTAAAAAAAAATTCCTATATATTTCTATGCAAGACTTTGGTTAGCCATTGTTGCCCCGCCCTGGGGGTCATGGTTTGAACTAACCTAAATCTACACTACCTGAGGATGCTTTCACGTGATTATGTAGAAGATTTTTTTTTCAATTTTTTTCCCCTTTATATTCCTATGTAAAAATTTGATCGGCCATTCCGGGGGTCATAATTTGAACAAACTAGAATCTACACTACCTGAAGATGCTTCCATCTGAGATTCAACTTTTCTGGTCCTGTGGTTTTAGAGAAGAAGATTTTTTAAAGAATTTACCTAGATATCACTATTTGAACCTCTGATCAGCCATTTTGGCCCCTCCCAACCCCCGGGGGTCATGAATTGAACAAACTGGAATTAACACTACATAAGGATGCTTCCACATGAGTGTCATCTTTCCACGCCCATTAGTTTTGGAAAAAAGGTCTTTTTTAGAGATTTTTCCTATATCTTCCTATGTAAATCTTTGATCAGTCATTGTTGCCCCGCGCTACCCTGGGGGTTCATGATTTGAAATAAACTTGAATCTACACTACCTGAGGATGCTTTCACGTGAGTTTCATCTTTCCTGGCCCAGTGATTCTGGAGAAGAAGTTTTTATTTTTTTTCCTATATATTTAAACTTTCATCAGCTATTGTTGACAATCCCTACCTCCGGGGGTCACAAATTGAACACTACCTGAGAATGCTTCCACATGCATGAGTTTCATTTTTTCATTGCCCAGTGGTTCTTGAGAAGAAGATATTTTTTAGATTTTTTTCCTATATTCCGATTAAAAATTGGAATGAGCCGTTGTGGCCTCGCCCTACCTCCGGGGGTCATGATTTGAACACATTGGAATCTACACTACCTGAAGATGCTTCCATGTGCATTTCAACTTTTCTGGCCCAGTAGTTTTGGAGAAGAAGATTTTTAAAGATTTTCCCTAGATATTACTATGTGAGCTTCTGATGACCCCCGGGGGTTATGATTTGAACAAACTGAATCAACACTATCTAAGGATGCTTCCACATGAGTTTTATTCTTCCTGACTCATTAGTTTTGGAGAGAAAGATTTTTAGGCATTTTCTCTATATCTTCCTATGTTTCCTATGCTTTTATGTGAGTTTCATCTTTCCTAGCCCAGTGATTATAGAGTTTATAAGATATGAATAAGTTATATAAGATATAAGATATAGAGATTTTTTTTTTTTATTATTTTTCCTATATATTCCTACATAAAACTTTGACCAGAGATTGTTGTCTCGCCCTGGGGGTCATGATTTCACCAAACTTGAATTTACACCACCTTAGAATCCTTCCACATGCATTTCATCTGTCCTTGCCCAATGGTTCTGGAGAAGAAGATTTTTTAAACTTTTTTCCCTATATATTTCTATGTAAAAAAGTCATTGTGGCCCCGCACGATTCCCGGGGATCATGATTTGAACAAATTTGAATCAACACTACCTGAGGATGCTATGAAATTTTTTTCATCTTTCCTGGCCCAATGGTTCTGGAGGAGATTTTAAAAAGAAATTGTCCCATATCTTCCGATGTAAACCTTTGATAAGCAATTGTGGCCCCTCCCTACTCCCGGGGGTCATGATTTCAACACATTTGAATCTATACTACCTAGAGATGCTTTCATATGTTTTTCATTTTTCCTGGGCCAGTGGTTCTGGAGAAGAATATTTCAAAAGATGTTCCCAATAAATTCTATGTTAACCTTTGATCAGCCATTGTGGCCCCGCCCTACCCCCGGGGTAGTTGTAGTTGGAAAATGTCTCTTGTACATAACTTTTTATTGTGGTTTATTAAGTAATGTTTGGAAATGTTTTCTTCTGTGAATAATATAGATATGATATGATAAATTTTGTTTTCATACATACCTAATATTATATTAATTTTGATCTAAAAAGTATATTGAACATTAATTTCACTATATTAAACTTGTTTCACAGCAAAAGTAGACATGGTAGTCATTTCTGAAACACTTATCAACGCTTAAACATTCAAGTATTTTTCCATGTAATTTTGATGCTGTTGAAAAAATACATTAATTCATATGTGTTCAGAGTCTACTACTGAACTTATGTTATCTTACAATTTTATACTCTACTTATGGACAGACGATACGATATTTTTTTTCTTTGGATGACACTTTATATAATGTTATAGATTTAGATAAAGTGAATAATTCTTAGAATTATTTCTCAAAAGAACTTACGATATGAAATAGACGTAAAATAATAGTAATTTTGAATTTTATTGGGAAAAGAAAATGGTAAAAATCAGGCTGTGATTTTTCTGATTTGTTGTTCCTCATGAAATTCACCTGGCTTAGTATACCTTTTTTTAAATTTGTATTACACTTCAAGCTCCAAATGAACTTATTCTGAAATTTGAGTTCACATGTAAACCTTCACTGAGTGTGAGTTGTCAATATTTGTTATTTTATTGAAATATTACCAATATTTTCCATTCTATTTTATTTTCCAGTTTCTAGAAGAAAGAATTCAGAATTATCCACTTTTCTTAATATGTGACACGATATTGAATCTCTTCCAAATAAAACATTTGTTTGTATCATCCATCCTTAAGCATCAGGCTTCATAGATACGTGTTTTGGTAATATATTTGCAAATGTCATATGTATACTATTTAATTTTTATATCAGAATGTCTGTAAATGATCTTTTTGCAACTATATCTTATGTTTTTTTTCCTTCTAAAGTTTGTACTCTTTATACTCATAGGCAAACTGACTATTAGTAACAAGAAGCCCGGGGGCCACAGCGCTCACTTGAGCACATCGGCTAGGAAAAGGCACATATCAGATCAGAACTGAAAGTTAATTGAAGGTGAAGGGGGGCTGGCTTGAATTTTAACCCCCAAAATGGTCATGATTTGAACAAACTAGAATCTACACTACCTGAGGATGATTCCATATAAATATCACTAATCATGGCTTTGAAGAACTTGAAAAGAAGATTTTAAAAGATTTTTCCAATATATTCCTATGTAAAACTTTGGTAGACCAGTTTGGCCCCACCCTAGCCCCAGGGGTCATGATTTGAACAAACCTGAAGCTACACAACCTGAGGATGATTCCACATGGGTTTCATCTTTCCTGGCCCAGTGGTTCTTGAGAAGAAGATTTATAAAGACTTTTCGGAATATTTCCTATGTAAAACTTTGATCGGCTATTTTGAACCAACCCTAGCCCTTGGGGTCATGATTTGAACAAATTCTAATCTACACGAGCTGAGAATGATTCAACATGAGTTTTGGTTTCCTGGCCCAGTGGTTCTTGAGAAGAAGATTTTTGAAAAATGCCATTAATTTTTCTTTAATTCATTATTATCCCCCTTTGGAAAAGGGTTTGACCCTTTATTTTAACAAACTCGAATCCCCTTAACCCAAGGATACTTTGTAGCAAGTTTTGTTGAAATTGGCCATGTAGTTCTTGAGAAGAAGCTGAAAATGTGAAAAGTTTACGACGACAACGACAACAACGACGACAGACAACGGACAAATTTTGATCAGAATAGATCACTTGGGCCTTCGGCTCAGGTGAGCTAATAAAAACAACTTTACTTTTTATCTGATTTTTTTTTTTTTTTGGTTGACCAGCAAAAGTCAAAGGTGCGAACTCTATCCTTCACCTCGCTGACCTGTGCACATTTAAGTAAGAAAACTATCGAGGATGACGTCAACACATATCTAAAATGTGATACATAAACAATCAGCATCACAAAGTAACACACATATTGAAATTGCACTGAAGAAACTGTTATATTTAATTCTGTTGTATTCCAAGCTAAATTGGAACATTAGTACATGAAGCCTCTACTTAATAAAATTGTCATATTTTTTTTTCTTATTGCCAGAGAAACAGATGAGCGGATAGAAAAATAATTAATGACCCACCATCCCAGAAAAAAACTGCCTTAGGGTTCATTCAACTATTTTGTTGTAGTATGAATAAAAAAGGGATTTTTTTAAACAACTAAAATACACAAAAGTGTTTCCCAGATAGATATGTATGCACATGAATATTGATGTTAATTTATGATATTAGTGTAAACTTTTTTCACTTACATTTGTATGCCACAGTCGAATTGTAACTATCTGGGCACGGATGAGTGTCATTTGAGCAGTTTGTACCTACACTTTGTTGAATAAGGTTTCCTATGAGGCTATATTCTGTACAATAGCCTGCAAAATAACCGTTATGATGCTTTTAATATTAACTTTTTATGGAAAAGAATCGATTCACATTTGAATTAAATTTATGACATTCTGAATATAAATTGTAGCAGCAAATTATCGAAGTTATTGTAAAAAATTAACAATTATTTTCATATATTTTAATTTTTAAACCAATGTTTTTCAATAAGGTAATATAGTTGGGATGTTTTCCCACCAAGTCACATGGATATTAGAGGAAATACATTGTAAATAGTACACATTTTCCTGATATTCTTCTCTTAGGAATTTGCTTAACAGCAGCACTTTATTTTTTTTTCAATGTGTTTGGGTAAAATTATTTATTTTGCATGACCATAAACGTGTATATGTATTTCAAATACCCTTGTGAATAATCTTTCCATAGGCACAAACTTCAAGGAGTTCATTGTGATTTGGACCAATTACACAATGATACACAAGTCTTTCGGGATTTGCACACTGACTGGCAAATGCTTTGCATTTTTTTTGTATAGGAGCTGCTGTCCATTCCTCTTCATTTCGAGGGCATTCGGAGACTTTTTGCACTGTTGTTTTTGTAATTGGACATGCTAACTCAAAAGCCTAAATAAGACATTTTAGAAAGCTATATGGCAATGTAATTCATTTCTAGACATGTATGTAATGAAACACGCATTCAAAAGACTCCACATATCTATTACATGTTAGGAATTCAATGCTTAAGTTTTGAGTGGATCTGTCAATAAATTGCTCCAATTAGTTCTATCATTATTTCATTGACGAACGTGAAATATTTCTCAGAAACCTCATATATTTGTTTACAGTATACTTATATGATCAAAAGAAATTTTGAGGAGACATTATGTGTTTCAAAATGTGAAAATACTTATAATTCCATTTATAAAATAATTATTAATACTATATATTACAAAATAGGTCGATAGTGGGCCTGTTCATGAGATGTTGAACCGCTTAATTCACATAATGGCGGAGCTAAATCTCATCTGATTTCTTTGATGTTTTTAACGTGACGGACCTCATGGTTACATCACGAAGGACAATAAATAATACGTGTGTCATAATCATATTTAAATAAAAGGTATGGCAAAATATTTATTGACTGTGTTCGCGGGTAAAATGCGATTTGGTGACTTTCGAACCAAACCGAAAGCCGTCGGCCTAACGGCTTCAGGCACACAGGTTAGTTCTTGGGTACGACAAAACGCATGTTACCATTGTGGTTAGTCAATAAATTTATATTATCAGGTTCGGACATACCTGCACCGAGACAAAATGAATGAATAAGCTGACCAGGCTTACTGGCACTGTGAATGTTTGGAGTATATGCAAATTTTGCACATGAAATGCCATGTTTAAAAGCACGTGTAAGTAACACTCGGAGTTCCTCTGAGTCTTGATCATCAAAGCGCTTCGATATATGTGAAAAAGACATGCGTCTAAATGATTGAGACGATAGTCGGATGAAAATGGAATAAAATCGATAACATTTTACACCTATTCCTCAAGTAAATGTTAGATGCATAATATAAAATATGAATTTAAATAAGAAACATGCATTACCTATTTTCAAATATATAGTTATATATCACTGTAAGAATATAAAACACGAACTGTGTAACTCACAATTTATGCGAAAAGTAAAATTCAATGGTCTAAAAAGGAACTGTATAATTTCCAATAGCAAATGATAAGCATTTTAGATATTAAATTGAAATATTAACTTATGAAACAACACTAAAAATTATGTGGATAGACCGGCCCGATCCTGCAATTAAAAATGAAATTACTTTTTAACTCGTAATACATATGAACTCTAAGAACAATAAAATGAATAAGACGCACTAAGCTGTTAGGGACTGGTAAATCGAAAATGTTTAGGAAACACAATTTGAAAATAGTATGTTCCGGCGATTTTCTGTTTGAGAGAGAGAGAGAGAGTCAAATGTACAAAAAAGATTTGTTTTCTGTTTATTACTTCAGGCAGGTGAAATTTGTCTGAAGAGCCAAACATTGCGAAATATCTTGCTGCGAAATTTTCCATAGTTGTTATTTGAATTTCATCAGAAGTGATTCAAGAAAACGAAACATGTTATAATTATCCGAACAAAAAAAAAGGCTACAAATCTACTTTTCCTGAATATTCTTTGAATAATAAAGTTATTTATAAATGCATCTTTTCAAAGATTTTTTTACACCAATACTAGCTATTTATCCTTTTTATTATATATTTTTCACTGGTGTTGATTATTCATCTACTAGTTTCACATTTTCATACTTACATTAACAGGTATGAGTAATATTTCCGACATCAAAAAAAAAAAAATAAATAACTACGGAAATAAAAACAGTCCAAGTCCTAGTTAGTTAAAATTATTTCTTAAGACCCGGCAGGGTTTGATCTGAATTAAACCGATAAGGAAATACAGGTTTTTTAAATGAATGTTGTTACTGATCAGTCGAATTGTTCAAATTAAATTGTATATACCTGTGGATTTAAACATACATGCATTATTCAAATATAAAAGAACATGTTAATTCAATGCTTTCCTATTGAAAATGCACTAAATGTGAAACATTATGCATTATGTGATATCTATGCGTACACCGACACATACTGTCTAATGTGTATACACCTACCGTTATGTACACAAGCTGTCTGTCATCAAAGCTGACGAGCAGACCAAAGTTTTTTGAGAATGAAAATAAAAGAAAAAACAGATATCATCGATCTTTCTTCATTTTAAAACAAATTTTCTTCCATAAACTCAGTACACTTTTTAACAAGAGGCCCATGGGCCACATCGCTCACCCGAGCATTGTGGCTAGGAAAAAGTAGAAATTGGTTTACAAAAACCAAAAGTTTGGCCCTGACCTACCCCCGGGGGTAGTGATTTGAACAAACTTGAATCTACACTACCTGAGGATGCTTCCATATAAATATGAGCAATTATGGCTTTGCTGTTCTTAAGAAGAAGATTTTTAAAGAGTTTTCATATATTTTTCTATTTAAAACTTTGGTCGGCCATTGTGGCCCCACCCTACCCCCGGGAATCATGATTGGAACAAACTTGAATCTATACTACCTGGGGATGCTTCCATATAAATATTAGCAATTATGGCCTTGCTGTTCTTAAGAAGAAGATTTTCAAAGAATTTTCCTATATATTTTTATATAAAAATTTGGTCGGCCATAGTGACCCTGCCCTACCCCCGGGGGTCATGATTTGAACAAACTTGAATCTACACTACCTGAGGATGTTTACCCATAAGTTTCATCTTTCCTGGCACAGTGGTTCTTGAGAAAAAGATTTTTTAAACATACCACCAAATTTTCACTAATTCTCAATTATCTCCCCTTGAATGAGGGCGTGGCCATTCATTTGAACAAACTTGAATCCCCTTCACCCAAGGATGCTTTTTGGCAAGTTTGGTTGAAATTGGCAAGACAATTGAGAAGAAGTCGAAAATGTGAAAAGTTTACAGACAGACAGACGGACAGACGGACGCCGGACAAAATGTGATCAGAAAAGCTCACTTGAGCCTTCGGCTCAGATGAGCTAAAAATCAAAGTTTTAACTTATATTTTAACCTCTGATAACTGATAACTAGTCCTTTGGAAACAATTTTAATTGGAAATTGGGTTAACATTAATAAACAATTTTAGTCTGAGGTTGCACCTTAAACCTAGCAACCATAATATGTTTTTTTTATATTGCATTATGATTTTTTTACCTTATTATCTTGACCTTGAAGTTTGACCTACTTTTCAAATATTTTTAAAATATTTTAACATTTTACATACATGTAGATAAGAAGATATAAGGTTTTTATATTTGATATGACCAAGCATTTGTGGTAGAATTGGATTCTACAGAATTAGTTACATGTAACAACGATAAATCTTATTGGTTATGATCGTTTATTGAACATTCGACAATTTTCTAGCTTTATGCAGTGATTTGAGGAACGTCCTTGTATGGGTTATAAGAAGATTGCTGATTTTGATTGGATAAGAGAGACACACCTTCAGACCGCAGTGTATTTAAAGTCCTGCATTTCACGTTTAGATCAGTTGGTGTGCAATCTTCTCAAAGGTTCGTACCAGCTCACTTCCTGATAATCGGGGTTCTCGTTCTCTGTCTCTATTTCGTTCAATTCGTTTAAAGGCAGAAATGTTTTACCAGGTGGTAAATTCCAGGTGAGGGAGGGGCTTATTTTGTACAGATTTGAATGCCTTGGGGGCTAGCAGTCTACCTGTGACCGTTTGTCTGCTATATTTAGGAATTGAATTTATACACAGTGAAATACCTCAGCTGTCAAACTTTAACTTAGTTGGGGATTTTGAGACAATTTTAAATTAAAAGTAAAAAGTTATTAGTAAAGTTTTCTCTCAATAATCTATATTGATTTATTTTTGAATGTTTTTGAAAACACCCTTACCCATGTAATAAATTATTTTGACATAATACAATAAATTTAAATATGAAAAGTAATATCATTTTAGGTGTTAGAGTTTATATTAATTTATGTTAATTTAAAACTCAATTTTTAAGTAACAACTAAATTAGACTTAATTCATTTATCTCAAGGATCCCATCAATGAAATGAAAAGAGAGTTGTATAAAGTAAATTTCTTTAAAAAATATCTAGGTTTATCCTAATCTTCATAATTTTTTAAGGCTTTGACATGAAATCTGCTAAAAAGATTACTTGTAAATTCTTATCAGAATAACAAGGGAAAATATTAGTGACCCATTATTAGGAACATTTATGAATATTTTTAAATTTAATTACTTCACACAGTGCTGCTCTAAACTTCATCAAGCTATACCATTCCCACTTAAGGTTTAAAATATTAAAATTAATATTCAAATTTTAAACTTTTTATGCACCACAATTTTATTTAAAAAATGTTTCTTGCATTATAATCCTCTCAAATGCTAAAGGTATATTTAATTAATATATGATCAAGCTAAAATTTTTCAAAGTAATACAGTCTCTCTATAAATGTACATGTACCATGTTTAGCAGACATCACAGGTTCAAAAGTTAATTTGAAGGTCCCCACGAGTGCCAAACTAGGGTTTACACAGGTACTACTAAATAAATGTCAATCAAGTTTCATCATCCAATGATATTCCTTCATGCAGTTGATTGACAGGGCTACCCAGACCGGGTATTTTTGAAGGCGGTGCTTAAAATCTCTGCCTTTAATTGTCTCGTTCAATTCGTTCAAGTTGTCCTTTTGTTTTTCTTATTTACACGTCCATTTTATTGTTACATGTAATTTCCAGTTCCTTATTTCTATTTTTGGTAAACTGCTTTAAGGTTAGGCATAGTAGATTGTTCATGCAGGGGTGAGACACTTCTCTTCGGACTAAGCATCTAGGACGGACTGGGTTTTGTACATCTGTAAGGAAGGTACTATCTTTTATTGAGGACCATAAGAAGAAAAGGTCGTTAGTACATCAGTTTTCGTTGTGCATGTAAATATTTATATAAATGTAAATATTTTTTGCTGTCACGTGAATTAAAATACAATTGTGGCCAAAAGAATTATTTGCAAATTATTGTTATTA